TAAGCGCGAATGCTAGCATTTTGTTGGTCAAAAGTGTGCATCTTAAAGCATTCTCTTGACTCAATTTGGTTCATAATTCAACCATGCATTATTACCTATAAAAACAGAAGAAAAACTATAAAACTTACTGATATGTACACAATATCGCAAAATATACAACATTATGTAACTATACAAAATGTATAAAAAAACGAGGGATTATTAACGGAAAACCAACAAATCAAATCAATAACTGATGATTATTCACACTAAAAATCACTACAATTTAGCACTTATCAAATATCAAAGCAAATTATGTTGCTCCTTTTTGGATGATTTGGTTTAATCATTGAAGATTTGTTTCGCGAATTCCTCTGCCAAAAAGGCGTGTTTTTAGAAGCAAAGGTCGGTTTATGCTTTACCTTGCTGCGTAAGAAAGGTTGTTAAATCATTTGAGAAAGATTAGATTTGATACGATTTAATATGGATCAGCATTTAAGGAAATATTATATCCTCGTGTAGGATATATGGATCTGCATTTAAGGAGATAATATGTTCTGTTCAGAATTGTTTTATGGATGAGTTGTGCCAAGCCCATAAGTCTCTCGTGCTATAAAAAAGAAAGGATGAAAACCCTTGCAAGTTTGACTCGCGTTTGTAAGAGTATCTGTTAGGATTTGTTTGTTCATTGTTGTTTTTGAGCCACTCTTGTATCACCTTGACACTAGAGCTGGACTGTTTTAGTTTACTTGTAATTGTGAATCACTCATACGCTTTTAAGCAAGAGTATATTTTGTTTCTTGGAGTGTTTCACCTTCTTTGATTGTTTTCTTGATTATCATTGTTGTGTGATTGAGGGGGAGTGAGAGGGGTCTCCTATCTAAGAGAGTCTTAGAAAGAAATAGCACGGTGTCATAACCCAAATTTGTCATACCATCTCATTCTATTCTACTAAGTATTTGTGTGGATTATAAATTTTCTAGATGATCATTTGGCCTCTGGCCATGATCTTATAAAGGTTTGGATTATGAAGGATTTTTTTGCACTCATGATGGTTACAAACCTTTTTTGGGTTGTTGGTGTTAGGTTTTGATAAAATAAAAATGTAACCTTCTTCTCATGATCAAACTTCAAGACGAGATTGATTGCCCAAACTATATGAATGGTTTCACCTGTTGATCAGAGAAAGGGCACAGTTTTGCATCATCTTTGTATGTTGGATTGATTTTTAGATCACAAGAAATGACGCACAGTGCTCTACTATACCAGCTATCTAAAAGTGTTTCACATGAGCATACAAGTAAAAAAGGTCAATATGTTGTATGTTTTTCAAAAACAATTTTCACATTCAATAAGGGAAAATTTACAAGCAATTAAAGATCAAGTGAGTCCAAACAATGACAATAACAACCCACAGACCATGTGCAATTTCCAAACCATGGTTTCAGTTCCTAAGTTTCAATCTAGATAGATTAATTACAAACTAAAGGACAAAATACCACGAGTTCTGTGTACACGAGGTTGTAAAAAAATTTAAGCCTACAAGGGAGTACAAAAGGCTCACAAATCTAATTTACAATGAGAAACTTTGAGGTTCCAAGTTGTATTATCTTTAATGTTTACAAGAAGTGACAAGCCTTCATCAAAGCTCATCATGCTCGTATGTATTGTCAAAATTTCCAAACTCTGAACCGTAAGGTACAAGAGCTAGTACACCTGAAAACATGAGAAAGTCAGGGTCAAGATGATTTACCAAACCGAGATCACCATAGTTGACAAGAACACAAGTCCTTTTATTCTTGCATAAAATGACTCACATATCCAAATCCACCAAATCAATGTCAAGTTCATGAATTTTTAAACCAGGCCTGTTATCCATGTCAAAATTCCATCCGTAGGCCTTGGCACATGCTTCAACCAAACTTCTTCATCTATCCATCTCCAAAACTCGCGAAATGCACAAAAAGGATGAATAAAGTTGGTTAGTAACAGCAACACACACAAAAATGTGTCACAAACATAGAATATCAAAAGTACACATGAGCAAAGAAGGGACGTGTCAAAATACATTCAACCACGGATCATCTACATTGCAAATTAAGAGGGAATGTATCATTATACGCGGAAGCTTAGAGAATACAAAAGGCACGGCCCCAAGTATACAGTACATAATAGCAGTGATAGGTAAAGTTCCAAAGAAAAACAAAAGTGTGTTGTTCGGGATAGTTAAAGACTTGTTGCAAGAATTCATTACAAAGAGAATTTTCTCACAAAGATACTTCTTTGTGCAATACATGGTATCAGTTGTTAAACATATGATAGATGTTGTAGCACAACTAAAACCTGTCAGGGCCTTGAGAGTGAATAATGTTGCTTCCTTCATGGTTATGCTTGCCTTACCTGCACTGGTTTTAAAGGTTTGAACTCAATTACTTGGAAGAGAAGATTAGAAAAGGGATGGATTTTGATCATACTCCATGTGACAACAGTCCCTCTCCATACCTTCGAAATGAGCCATGAATCATCACCTGTGGAGGGAAATTTCAACAGCATGTCATTGTAATACAAGTAACTTGCAGATTTGTGTATGCAATAACTCAACACACCAGACCTGAATCATGTCAAAAAAAATATAAAGTAGAATTGATTTAGGGTCTAAATATACCTAAAACTCATAAGTTATGCCTCCAAGCCCTCTCAAAACCGCAGCTCATGCTTTAGAATTTCTGCATCCCAAAAATCATCCTATTATTCTTTGAAATATACCCACGTTACCATCATAATAATGTTTTGCATAATAAAAAGAAGGCTTAATTGCAACTTTGGTCCCCCTATTTTGTGTTTTTTTGAGTTTTGATCCCCCCATTTTAAAAACCACGATTTTGGTCCCTTTTTTAAGTTTCAAGATTAATATTAGTCCCCTTGTCATTTTAAGTCATGTTTTTAATGAGATGGCGCTTTGAATGCTGATGTGGCATGTCCATGTCAATTAAAATGGTTTTTTTAAATTTAATTTAATTTCCATGTCATTAACTTAAATATTATTTCATTTTCACAAATTTAATAAAATAAAATTTAATTGTAAACATTATTTCAAACCCAGTAAACATTATTTCATCTTCAAACCGTTCAGGGTGAAGCTCGCTTCAAATCTAAACCTTCATCTTCAAACCGCTTCAGAATCCAGTTCATCTTCAAACCGCAGTTCATCTTCCGACATGTCCGAAATGAATTTATCTTTTTCCTCAACAAACCAGTCTGGGTCTGGTATAAGAAGAAGAGGTAATAGATGTTGGTGTGAGCTTGAGTCACTGTTGATGACGTCATGGACATACGATAATCCCGGAAGAAGATTTCATGGGTGTGGTAATTTTAAGGTGATGAGAAAAAAGGATGTAATTACTTTCAGTGGGTTGATGAAGACATGAGCAGTCGTGCTAAAGATGTGATAAGATCTTTGAAAGATAAGAATGAGGAGCTCATGGATGTGATTAAAGACATCAAGAAAAATGAAGATTTGTTGAAGATGAAAATTAGGTTTATGTATTATTTTGTGGGGTTATGTTTGATGTTTGTCTTTTTAATTGTGTTTTCATTAGTTGCAACACATGTACTCAAATGATGTAATGTCAAGTGTTGTAGTTACTTTAATGTTTATGTAGTTTCCAAATGAACTAATATCAAATGAAGAGTTATGATTGTCTGTGTTAATGAAGAGTTATGTTGTAGTTACTTTGATTGTCTTCAAATGATGTTTATTACAAATTTTCTGCAGTTTATTACAAATTTTTTTGCAGTTTATTACTTTGATGTTTATTCCACTGAGTTGGATTGATTGATGGTTGCAAATGGAAAGCAGTTGCAGCAGCGTAACGCGACTTGAATGTATTGATTAGTTAGCATGAAAACTGTTATGAACTGCAGCTGTAATGTATTGATTCAATTAATTTGTTTTGAAAAGGTCATTTAATGTAATTAGTCATGACTGCAGCTATAATGTATTTTTGCAGCCTCATTCGGTTCGCCTAAACCATCATAATCTGAAGCTTCTGAAATATTGGACATGGAAGTTTGTTTTTACTCGTCCGGTGTGTTCTATTTTGATGATTACATTTCAGCTACTTGGGATCTATCCGAATTGGTTGAGCTGGATCTTCACCATCATTCTCAATATTTTTGTTTCATTGGCCTTGTATTCTCTAGTGATCTTTTACCATCTGTTTGCTAAAGAACTGGAACCACACAAGCCTCTAGCGAAATTCATGTGCATCAAAGGAATCGTTTTCTTCTGCTTTAGAAGCTAACTGATACAAACAACTACAAAATTTAATAAAGCAGATACATGATTAATACAATACAAAAACTACTGATATATACTCTTAATGCATATAACCAATCCAATTAAATTAGTCTTTCAAATGAAGTCTTGAGAAGCTAACATATACTTTTTTAAAAATGAAGTCTTGTTACAATTTATTAGGATTTTTCTGACGGCAACTTTGTTTGGGTTGTATTATAATTTATACAGGGAATGGTGCTGGATGGTTTAGTAGCAGCTGGTGTGATTCAATCTCGTCATTTGAAATTAGACATGGAGCACATTGAGGAAGCAATGCAGAATATTTTGGTTTGTTTTGAAAAGGTCATTTGATGTAATTAGTTATGAACTGCAGCTGTAGTTAGAATTTATGCTTTGAAGTACTAGTCACATTTAGAGAAGAATTCGAGACAGTAGTAAAGAACACTTCATAAGCTATCTATTATAAAAAATTAACAGTGAATGTATACACTTCATAACAATAGAAGTTCTGTTTTGGCTCTTGCAACAGAAGTTCAAGACCGATGTATCATTACATTGATGGCAGCATTAAAGACAACATATTTTAACAAAAAGTAAAGCAGATCATATGTTATAGCAGCATCACAAAAAGTCAAGCAAAACATAGAACTATTCTTGGGTTGGTGGCGGTGCTTGCGACCCTCCGTCTATAACAGTTTCTCCCGCTTCCTTGCCCGACTTGTCACCATTTTTTTATAGATTTTGTGTTGCCACCTTTAGGAATTGCTCTCTCCGCAGCTCGCTTCGCTTTACACGTTCGTTTGTTATGGCCAAAACTTCCACATTTCTTGCACTTGACAGTTTGAAGAGTTCTAGGCAGTGTATTTCTTATCCTCGGTTCATCATTTGCCTTGTTACGATTCTTCTTAGGACGACCGATAGATCTTCGCATGACTGGAGGGCTGATTGGGTTAGCAACATTAACAGGCCATAGTTGTGGGCCATTGGTTGGCATGATGATATGGCTATAAGTAGCCAGAACAGTAGATTTTCTAGACAATATAACACAATGATTTTAGTTAACGTACAAAAAAGATGAATGTAAATGAACATAATATACGAGTAGGTGATACATATAGAATGATGAAACGTAATCTTCGGGCTCCTTCTTGTTATACCATATGCATGCAATAGCATGACAACATGGTATTCCACTTAAATCCCACTTCCTACAACCACATTTTTGTTGAAGCAAGTTCACAACATATGTCTCAACACCGTTTGAAACTCCGAATATTGCAAAGTCATCATATGCATGCCATGTTGCAATCCATCCTTCTGCTGCCCTCTTTGTTTTTTCCAATACTTTTTGAATGCTAGGACTTGTAACACCTATGTACCTACTTAATTTCTCCTTTTGAGCAGATATTCTCACTGTTATGTAATGTTTGATTCCTTCAAGTAGTGAAATGATCGGCTTATCTCTATACTCCAAGATTGCACGATTAAAAGCCTCACACATATTGTTGACTTGCAAATCACATTGTGTGTCTGTTTTGAAATGAGACCGAGTCCAACATGCAGCTGGGACATCCATCATGTCTTTCCAAGCATTGACATTGAGCTCTTTCATATGATTCATTGCTTTTTCCCATGCAGGAATTGTTGTGGCTCTAGTTGCCCGCCATAAAGCCTCCTTCATAAATATCCCCGAATATTTCTTTCTCCAATTGCCATACAAGAGTTTAACACATAGTCTGTGTTTAACATGTTGGCTTGTCTCAAGAATAGCCGGTACCAATCCCTGAAATAACAGCATATATCAGTATATAACAGTTATAACAGCAGCAACATATATTAAATTATAAGTACCACACCAACATTGTTATAACAGCAGCATATATCAAGTTATAACAGCACCAACATTGTTAACATATATCAAGTTATAACAACAACAACATTGTTAACATATATCAAATTATACCAAGTTATAACAGCAGCATATATCAAGTTATAACAGCAGCATCATATATCAAATTAACAACAGCAGCAACATATAAGTACCACACCAGCATATATCAAATTATAAGTACCATAGCAGAATTATTATATCAGCATATAAGTACCATAGCAGAATTATTATACCATAGCAGAATTTTGTACCATATCAGAATTGTTATAAGTATATCAAATTATATCAAGTTATAATAGCAGCAACATTGTTAACATATATCAAGTTATAACAGCATTGTTAACATATATTAAATTAACAGCAGCATATATCAAATTATAAGTACCATAGCAAAATTATTATATCAGCATATAAGTACCATAGCAGAATTATTATACCATAGCAGAATTTTGTACCATAGCAGAATTATTATATCAGCATATAAGTACCATAGCAGAATTATTATACCATAGCATATAATTACCATAGCATATATCAAATTAACATTAACAGAATTTTGTAATCAGCATTGTTAACATAAACATTAACAAAATTTTGTAATCAGCATTGTTAACGTAAACATTAACAGAATTTTGTAATCAGCATTGTATAATTAACAGTTATATAGCATTAACAGAATTTTGTACAGCATTGTATAATCAGCATTGTATATAACAGTTATAATCAACATTGTGTAATCAGCATTATATAATTAACAGTCTTAGCATTGTATATAACAGTTATAATTAACCTTCTGTTGATCTGATATAAATCCATATTTGTTGTCTTGTATAGATTGTAAGTCTTCTAATAACAAATTAAGGAACCATTTCCATGAGTCTTTCGTTTCAGCTTCCACTATGGCATAAGCGATTGGATAAATCTTGTTATTTCTATCCTTACCAACAACACCTATTAACTGACCTCCAAAGTCCCCTTTAAGAAAATAAGCATCCAGTCCTATTAGAGGCCTACACGTCGTTGCAAACGCTGCCTTACAAGCTTCTAAGCATACATATATTCTTTCAAAGACAGGACCACCATCTGAATCAGCACACTTGATTTTAACAGTGGAGTTTGTATTTGACTTTAACAACTCCTCACCATAGCTTCTAAGGTGTGTGAATTGTTCACGACCAACACCTTGAATTAATTCCATTTCCTGTTTCTTGGCTCTGTAAGCTTGATCCTTTGACAACTTCACCCCCCACTTCTTAATAGCTTCTGCAATTAGCCCTTTGGTTTTTATTTCAGGAGTGTGTCTTATGGTGTACACAAATTGGTGACCCAACCAATCCGTTTTTGCTTGTCTATTTTTGGCTGTCCTATGACAGCTATGACGATCAGTCAAGCTAACGAGTTGCCAATATTGATTGGTAGTCCTCATGCTAAACCTAATATGAAATGGACAACCATCTACACACTTGACAACCATTCTCTTCTTGTCATTTTTCTTAAATACAAGATTCTTCTTGTTCTCCATAGCATACTCCTTTATGGCATCTTTGATTTGTTGTTTATCCTTGAACATCATCCCTACTTCAAGTTGTGTGGGTTCCCTAAAGATTGGAAACTTTGTCGTATCACCTTCAGCATCACTATCGGGAGGAGTTTGAAGCACATCTGAATCACTACCATTATCGGAATTATCATCCAACTTTGAAGGTTTTTCTGCATTAGGTAAAACGGTCTTCCAATTTATACTAGCATCAACACCTAAATTCATCACATCAATTTCATCTTCCAAATCTTCATCCTCTTCCTCGTCATCCTCACTGCCCATGCTATAATCTGGATCTGTTTCACTCTCATCATCTACCTCATCAACGCTAACCTCTTTATCAACGCTAACACCATTATCCTCCTCAACATTAACCTCTTCATCATTTGCTCCTTCACCGTTGCCTTTTTCACCATTATCCTCCTCAACATTAACCTCTTCATCATTTGCTCCTTCACCATTGCCTTTTTCACCATTATCCTCCTCAATATTAACCTCTTCATCATTTTCTCCTTCACCATTGCCTTTTTCACCATTATCCTCCTCAAAAATAACATCCTCAATACTCATTTCTTCAACTTTGTGTTTAACATAAAGATCAACTACCTTAAATCCTCTAACATCCTCCATTAACCTTAAGACATCATTGTCATTGTTAAGAGGCCGAAGTCCACGAGAAAATGAAAAATTAGGATTCCAATATCATAAACACTTTATATTACGATACCCCTCACTCTTGATCAAATATTCAATTTGCATGTAGGAGATCAAGTCCACATCCCAATCCCAATTCATTTCACTTACAAGCCCATCAACATACAACAGAACTGGATTTTGAATTAAATGTCCCCTATGGTGTACTCTAAATCTGACAGCTTCCGTATTAGAGGGCTTACAAAACAAAAAAAACAGCAGCTGAATTAAACCATATATAAAACCGGGAGTTGGTATTAACAATTCATATGCTATGATAGAACACAAACGCCATTTTCATGTTTAGGGTTTTTGTATTCAGAGGTGAGTTACGAAACATACCTCGACACGTAACTTCGGTTTGCCATTTAAGAGACGACGGGAAGCGAGGTGCAGTTTGATTTGAAGCGAGTTGCGGTTTGATATAGAAATGGGTTTGGGCTAAAATGGGAAGAAGATGAAAATGAAGGTTTTGGTTACAATGGGAAGAAGATGAAAATGAAGGTTTTGGTTACAATGGGAAGAAGATGAAAATGAAGGTTACAATGATATAGAACTGCGGTTTGAAGATGAACTGGATTCTGAAGCGGTTTGAAAATGAAGGTTTGGATTTGAAGCGAGCTTCACCTTGTTCGTTGTTTGAAGATGAACTGTTTACGTTAATGTAAAAATGAAATAATGTTTACTGGGTTTGAAATAAGAAATAATGTTTACAATTAAATTTTATTTTATTAAATTTGTGAAAATGAAATAATATTTAAGTTAATGACATGAAAATTAAATTAAATTTTAAAAAATCATTTTAATTGACATGGAAATGCCACATCAGCAGTCAAAGCGCCACCTCATTAAAAACATGACTTAAAATGACAAGGGGACTAATATTAATCTTGAAACCTAAAAAAGGGACAAAAACCGTGGTTTTTAAAATGGGGGGATCAAAACTCAAAAAAACACAAAATAGGGGGATCAAAGTTGCAATTAAGCCTAAAAAGAAATAGAAGTCAAAATGTTTTCAAAGCCACATCAACATAGTAAGGAATGCAGAAACCACAAATTACATGTAGTGAAAAGTCAGGTAAATATCACCTATTCTAGAAGCTCACAACGGACAAAAAGATTTCTACCCGTCACTACCAATGGTCCCCATGAAATCTCACTCAAATTCTTTCTAACAGAATGGGAAAAATGCCAGTTATTTCTCGCACATGGGAAGGAGGATATTCCTTGAATTCCTCCTCTGATTCACATGTGCCAAAAACCCTAAACATTCACCTATAAACAAGCGCTTAATCATTGAGAAGAGGAGGATCCCAACGAAGCTCTGCAAAAACTCAAACCTTAAGAAAATCCACGATCCACCAAAGTTTCTTCTTAGAGCTAATAGGGACTTGTATTAATATCCTCATTAACCTGAAATAAACCCAAGAACGTCAAATTCACGAAAAGTCAGAAGTAAGAAGAGAGCAACTCAAACGAAAACAAAAACAAAAACAAAGGAAAGAAGGAGAAGACCTGTTAGTTGACTGCTGAAGCAGCTGGATTCGGTAGATCTTCACCTCTTTTTCAAATTTGATTCAACTTGCACCTTACATTGAATATATAATTAGTTTCGAAATACTGAATTTGGGGGTACGAGGGGTTCGATTAAGGTTAAGGTTTCTTTTCATTGTGCACTAGTGGTTACGTAGGGTATGCGTTGATTAGCATTTGAGATTTGGGGGTTTATTATTGGGGAACTCTTGAGGGGTTTCGTTTTAGAGTGGAGATATGGATTCATCCATGGTAAGTTTAGATGAAGGAGAGAGAGCGTTGAAGAAGGATTTGAGATTTCAGAGTTGGGATTGTTTTTTTTTTCTGAGAGAGTTTGAGAGAGGTGAATCGTTGAGTGAGATAGAAGTTGAGCTAACGCAAAGAAGAGGGAGGATTGCAAATGTGTTTGTTTAGGTTCCTTGATTCTAATATAGACGTTTTTAATTATGACCATCAATAGCTACCTAACAGTAATAATGATAAGAATTAATTGACTCTCTTTTCAATAACATTGCAGCATTAATAAGCACAGTGACTGTTGGTTTTGGGTTTTAAATGTTGGGAAAGTTACTGATCATTAAATGTGGATTACCTCTTCATTTTCTTTGACGGTGGGTAATAACTAGGATGGCTGTTCTAGTTTCACTTAATTGTGGGCCAAGGGAATCAATAGGGTCCTTATGGACCTGAGTCTACTTCATGGGCCGACGCAAGGCCCAGTAATTTGGGGCTTCATAACCTATTATTCAAGCAAACACCCCCTGGTCTATTATCTTAGATTTGTTTTTTTTTGTTTGTTTGTTTTTGTTTTTATTTAATTTTTAGGTTTTGATCCAAAAAATGAGATTTTCTTCTTGATAATTAATAACTTTTGAATTTTTTTTATCTAATTTAATTTATTGCCTAGTTCTATTTCTTCACTAAAATAAACAAAAATATTATTCGAATACTTTAGTTTTTACTTACTATTGATTACATGTTAATTATAGGTCTTGTTTGTCCTTACATGAACTATTCTTGTATGCCGATCTATAAGCTAGGCTAGACGTGAGCGTTCATTCTCTTAGGAAAATGATGGAGTCTTTGGTCCAATACCAAAGAAATTCACAATTTGATTTCGCCTCTAATTATTACCTCTAAAAATTTTCCTCTAATTAAGTAACGAAAGTATTGAACTCTTGAAGTCTAGCACTTCTTGGGTTCTTAAACAATCACTCTTGAGGTGTACGCCTCGAGTTGTGAATGTTTCACTTTTCGTTTCTAACTATTTAAAATACTTGAGATAATTTAAAAACCTTTAGTCTAAATAAGGTACTTAACCCTAAAATATTTTTCTAACCAAATTAAAATTATAATGTATCTTAATTAGTAATTTTAAAAATTTTTCTTGATTAATTAATGAACGTAGCAGATTCTTTAAGTCTAACACTTCTCGGGTCCTTGAACAAACACTTTTGAGGCATACGCCTTGGGTTATGTTCGTTTCGTCTTTCATTTCTAAAAACTTAATTCTTCTTAAAACTTTTAAACCTCTTTTCAAACCTTAGTTCAATTAAAACATTTAACCTCAATTGAATCATTCCTAAAAAATACGATTAAAACAAACTATACTTGTCTTGACTAACAATGGAGATATCAAATTCTTGAAGTCTAGCACCTCTTGGATTCTCGAAAGATTGCTCTTGAGGCGCACGTCTTAAGTTGTGATCATTTCGATCATTTATAAAGTATGCAATTCGTTTAAAATAGTTAACACGTCTAATCAAAATACACAAAATTTCAAATCGTTTTTCTAACTAAATTACAAAAGAATTGAGTTCTTAGAGTCTCGCACTCCTAGGATTCTTGAATAACCGCTCTTGAGGCCCACGCCTTGGATTGTGGGTTGCTCGAACTTTTGTTCCTAAAACACATCCCTAATTACTTGGACAAAACGTTCACTGTCCAACAAACAATTTTGTAACTATTGGAATAAAAGCGGTGTCGTTGGAATCTAGTATTCAAACAATACCCTGATTAGTTGGTTGCGAGACCGACGTCTCGTTTATCGAATAGTCGTCATTCTCCAAACCAAAATACTTTATAAAAATTAAATCTCTTTTCTCGCCCCCGTGCGATTGAAATTTCTCAAATACTAATTCCTCGTCCCGTTTAATCCATAACTCAAAAAGCTTTTCTCAAAGAACATTGTTTATTCCCTTCTTCCGCGCATACAAACTCGTGCTTCAGCCTCCCCTAGCGAGCAGACATTCCAACGTTTAGCAGTTATAATGTGACCTAAACACTCGTTCGTTTACAAACCAACCTGTCGTAGTCGTTCGAACTATGGACGCTCTGATTTCACAAGACTTATTTTCTTTAATATAATATTGACTAATAAGAAGACATAAAATAAAGTTGAGCTCAACAAATCAACTGGAGTAAAGTATACTCATCTCAATCTCTTATCAACTAGAGTATGAATTAAATTTAATAAGTGGATACTTATTAATATTCTATATTTCCTTTATGAATCAACGACACACAACTTAACTTTTAAAGTTGAGAACAATTACAATAAATAATAAAACTCTCTCTTAAATAGTTTAGTACAATTGAATTTTTTTAAGCTCAAACTCGACTGATTATAAGTTTATGAACAAATTTGTTCAACTCGTTAAATTTATCTCGTTTGATTTAACTCACTTGTTTTACAGACTTAAATTATTTTTTAATAGAAATATTTTGATCACTTCAAAATATAAATGTTCAATTAAATTTCGTTAGATTTAAAAAAAATAGAGGGTTAATACTTAAAATAAATATTTAAACATATTTTTTAAAAATAATATAAATTATTTATATATAATCGAGTTAAGCTATAAATATAACTAATTAAATTTTACATATAATTTAAATTTAACGCATATAATTAACAAACTTAACTTGTTGTTTATATTTAATTCATTTACTTTATGCAATTTAAGTTGATTCGGGTCAATGTCACCCCTAACTCATATAACTTTATGAAATTTTGACTTGTCATTTTCTCATATATATTAAAGGAAACTTTCTCCGAAACTTCTAATTCCATTATTTGCTATGCTTTATTTTTAAAGTTAAAAGACTATTTGTCCACTTTTTATCATCACAAATATTTTTGTCAATCAATCTCTATCCCTTTCTTATCTCTTTCACAGAAATTTCACACGACTTCTTTTCTTTAATATAATATTGACTAATAAGAAGACATAAAATAAAGTTGAGCTCAATAAATCAACTAGAGTAAAGTAGACTCATTTCAATCTCTTATCAACTAGAGTATGAATTAAATTTAACAAGTGGACACTTATTAATATTCTATATTTCTTTTATGAATCAACGACACACAACTTAATTTTTAAAATTGAAAAAAATTACAATAA